AATGCACTCATTCCTTCCAAGACCCATTTTTTTTGGTCTCCTGATTCAACTCTCCAGTCTATGGTATAGGGAAAGCGGAGAACGTTTCCCTTCTTTAAGCATGGAGACCATATCGCATCATCCATTCACATCACATCGTCTCTTTCTGATACTTTCACGAGCTGAGTCTCTGATTTTGGGAGAGAGGTCCCGATTGAGATGAAAAAAGACTCTTTTCTTCTGTTCGCTGCAAGTCTCGGAGGGTGATTTGGCTCGTTTCATTAACAAAATTTGTGCATCCAAAGGTGGAATGTCACGAGCCATCAACACGTTTTCGTCGGACAAAAATTCGTCCCGCATCTTTTGATAACTCCCCACGGTATAATAACCCGCACATTTTGAAAAATCGGAGGCTTTCAGGTAAACGACTCCTTGGATGATATAAAAGGAAAGATCAACATATTTATATTTGAAAGGAATACACGTAGTGAGCTGGGGATGCCTCCTCATGATCCACTTGGACAAAAATACGACTTTGGGGCTCTCCCCTTTTATTTATAGAGAGAAAGAGAGTGTGACCTTCCCTTCCCTCCTCCTCCTCTCTCCCTGCTTCCTCTATCTCTGGACGTCCTTGGATTGGAAAGGGTGACTTTGAAAAAAAAGAAGGTCATGGTTGGATAATTTTTTTGTTTATTAAATTATTACTTTCACTTCCTCATTCCCACACACATTCATCTTTTTAAGAAAAGAAAAAGAGGTCATGGAGATAAGATTTCTTGGAAAGAAGAGAGAGAGAAACAAAAAAAAAACAAATAAAACGGACGTCATAGAGCCTCTATGTGTGTCTGTGTGTGTCTATATAGATATATAAAAAGACGAGAGTACTGGGCGAGATCATTTCTTTTCCATTGGGAGCCATGTCGCTATTAGACGTTTTTCCAACTCAACGGATTTCGAACGGGGAGGATTTGAAGACGCTAAAGCAAATCTCCAACTTGAAAATTTTTTTGGCGTGTCATTGTGCGACATTTATTCCGCATTTACCACCTCATCAAGCGATCGTTTCTTTCAACCAAGATGTCGAATCCTCCAACCTGCTCGTTCAGAATATATACAGAAATTTATTCGAATCGCAACAAACGAAAGAGGAATCTCCCTTCTCTTGGAATCGGATGGATCGAGCTTTGAGACGGCCCATTCAAACAGACCGGCGATATACAGGATCCGCGCACGAGTTTTCGGTGGAAGAATATTTTTCTCACGAAACGATATTTTACGTTTGGAGTGAGAACGACGGCTGAGGACGAAGTTCATATTGTTCAAACCACAGCCGCTCCTCTCGCCTATTACGAATCATCGTCCCCCAATCTGAAGGAAAGAAGTTTTAAAGTCAGCGACAGGATGAAATATAAGAAATATATTCTAAGACCTTTTCAAAACTATGTCGTTCCCCCGAAAACGCAATATCTCATCGTCACAACCCAGAAGAGTCTCTTTCTCGTCGATCGGTGCTCGTACTCGCTTTGGAAACAATTGAAAGAGGGAGATTTCTTTCCAATCGCCGATGATGTTTCAAGAAAAAGAAGAAGAAAAACCCTCCGCCACCTTTACCCATCCCTTCCTTAGATGATAAGAGGAGCTGGACCAAACCGTCATGGCCCGAAACAAAATCGACCCGGCAACGGAATGAAATTGAAGTCATCACAATTGAAGATGAGGAGGAAGAAAAAAAATTACCTCTTAAAAAACGGTCGACTTACCGGAACCTACCTGGCGTGCAAGATCCGCTTCAGAATCCAGAAGCTTCTTCTTCTTCTTCTTCTTCCCCGACTTGTTCAAACAGGCAACCTCTTTCGGACTCCTCACAGACAGAACCTCTTCCAGTATCCTCTTCTTCTTCTTCTTCTTCTTCTTCTCTAACCTGTCCCGACATCGTAGAGGTAGAATGTCAGACGGGTCCACAAGCTTCAAAAAGTCCCGACATCGTAGAGGTAGAATGTCAGCCGGGTCCACAAGTTCCAACAGGTCCAGAAATCATGGAGGCAGAATCACAGCCGGGTTCACAAGTTCCAACGGGTCCAGAAATCATGGAGGTAGAATTTCAGCCGGGTAAACAAGTTCCAACGGGTCCAGAAATCATGGAGGTAGAATCGCAGCCGGGTCCAGACATCCTAGATCCCTCCACTCATCCCAAAGAGACTCCAAGTGTTTCAAGACAGCCTTGTGAGGATCCAGCCCTTCCCGTATGGAATGATTATATGGACTTACAAAATTTGGTGCAACAGGAAGGAGAAGAAAATAATCATACGGATGGGTGGGTCAAAGACTGTTTAGATCATTTAACCTCGAATGAAATTGAACTGTTATGGAATTGCATTTCTGAAATCACATCGGAAATGGGATAAAAACCAAAACAAAAAAAAACAATTTTTTTAATAACAAATGGGAGGAGGGTCATGATGTCAATTTAAAAAAAATATTATATAGAGTCCAATCTTGGTGGTTCACTTCAGTTTTCCAGCATGAGGTGATCCACGTTTCCCGAAATATGGATCCCATTCCAAGAGAGATTGTGTAGAGCCTTCACTTCAGTTCTTTTTTTTTTCTACCAAGAGGAGAGGGTCCCCAAAGGGCTACCCATGTCCAAAGAGAGAAAGTGTAGAGCGTTCATTTCAGTTTTTTTTCCAAGTTTAGGGGAGGTCTCAAAATGACACCCCCCCCCCATTTTCAAAGAGAGATGGTGTAGAGCGTTCATTTCTGTTTTTTTCCAAAGTTAGGGAGTTTTCAAATGGCTACCCATTTCAGAGAAAGAGAGAGAGAGAAGGTGTAGAGCGTTCATTTCAGTTTTCCAACATTAGAAGGTCCCAAAATACCTTCTGAATTCAAAGAGAGATCGTGTAGAGCGTTCATTTCCAGTTCTCCAAGATCAGAAGAAGAGGGTCCGCTTTTCCCAAAAGGGCTTTCCGCATTCAGAGACAGCGAAATGCAGACTTCAGTTTTTCTCCCTCCCCAAGAATAGAGGGTCCCAAAATGGCTTCCCATTTCAAAGAGAGAGGGAGAGGCGTTCATTTCCATTCTCCAAGATAGGGTCGTCTGCTTTTTCCCAAAATGGCTTCCCAATTCAAAGAGAGAGAGAGAGAGAGAGTAAAAGGGTGTGTAGAGCGGTCATGTTCATTCTCCAAGATAGGGTCGTCAGCTTTTTCTCAAAATGGCATCTCCCCATTCAAAAAGAGATCGTAACCAATTTTTCCAGTTTTTTCCAAGATGGGGGGGAGAAGAAAACCTAGGATGGAATAACACGACACACAGAGAGAAAGAGAAAAAAAAAACGCCATCTTGTCATTTTCTGATAGGGTACCGGTGTTCGAATACTTTTGTGACCGACTGTACATGATCAGATGTAAGTTCTGTAAGTTCTGCCTTGACTTCCAAGGAAATAGGGATAGAAGTATTTGTAAGGATAATATCCAAGATGTCCGAGAGATTTGGAGAGGCAGGACGATAAGTGGCTTCAGAAGGTACATGTAATGCGACAGGATGATTGCAGATAAAATTATGCATAACACGTCCATTGGTGTTAGAACGACGACATCCCCATTCGAGGTGCTTTGCATTCATGTCTCCGGCAATAATAACTTGCTGATCTTCAGGAAGTAAGTTTTTTAACATATTTTCAGAAAGTCGATTTCGTGGTGGATTATAAATAGCCGTAAAATGGATGGTACCAAATTGTGGGAGTATAACAGCAACAGTCACACTTTCGAATCCAGAAGCAGAGTTTGTCGAGACAAGACAGGATTGCAGAGAGTTTTTAACAAAAATTGCAGCTCCTCCTCTTCTTTGTGAAAGTCTATCACCTCTGTAGGTGCGATAATTAGCAATATACAGTCTATCGGCAGGAACAACATGCGTTTCAGAGATCATGCCAATATCTATGTTATATTCTATAAAAAAGTCCGAAAGTTCATCAATTTTGTTAACAATGCCAGCAGCATTCCAATATCAAAGTTTAAGCGAATCTGACTTATTGAATAAATGATTCAGCCTGGTATATAGGAGCCTTATATATAGGAGCCTTATATATAGGAGCCTTAGGAATGTGGCGTCTCTACGGAATAGTTACGAAGAAAAGAACCACATGACATCCTATTATTACTAACTATTGTATTATGAAAATAATAAATAAAGAAATTTAATGGCACTTTTAGTGATAGAGAATAAGATATTGTATAGAGAACAGAATGTTACTTATTTGAATATTCCGTGTCAGGTTTTCTTTTGGATTTCTCGTGTTGATAGTGAACAGCGAGTTTCGAAGAAGCGAAGTTTCCTTTTTCAGTTTGATGAATGAGACATTGCATAGGAATAGTGCATTAAACTTTTTTAGAGAGTTGAAAACATTTACTGAATATTACTTATTATTGCTTATTATTTATTATTACTTATTATTACTTATTATTGCAGGCTTATTTAGAAATTTCGGAGCTATGTTTAGACACTGCCTCCAGCTTTCGTGATCGCAGCACCCTATCTCATTTGATAACGAAAGTATGTTTAATAATTAAAAAGTACCGATCACAAGTAGTAACTATGATTCGGTCCTTTCTACCATGCCATCTATGTTCAATACAGCTGATAACATATTAATTCAGTTTTAATTTTGGGGAGTTAAAGTGGGCTTCAGAAATATGCCTGATTGCTTTAAATTTAAAATGCATATTTTGTGTAATGTGTGAAAACATTCAGGAAAAGCCCACCAGCGGCCGAGCGGTAAAGTCGCTGAACACTGGTAGTTCGGTCTGAGGTTCGAATCCCGCGAACGGGTTGGTTTCGTGGTTTTCCCCATGTGTAACGTGTATACAAGCCAGTTTTCCTTAGAAAAACCTCCACGAAGGCATCCCTCCCCTTAGGCAGATAGTCCTAGTGTGCTTTGCCGTTATTAAATACACCACCACACCACCATTCAGGAAAAGTTGAGAAAAAATTAACCTTTCTTAAATTGGCAATAGAATCAGCGACTGTTGTTCTGCTTCCCATTTGCGCGGTAAACAAAGATAATTTTAAGTTAACGATATTTGATATGTGTGACGAAATGACAGAATCTGATTTTTATGCGAAAGGTAAAAGTTATTGGGAAACTATTCCGGCTACCATAGATGGAATGCTAGGAGGACATTCAAGTGTTTTAAATGCAGATATCCGTGCTTCATCGAGGTTTTTAGAAGATTTTCTGGAAGTAAGTACCAGACGGTACTCCCTTCCCAGGTTTCTTGTTTGTAAATTTGTTTGATTGGAATAAAATATTTGAATAAGTAACAGTTAAAGTTACATGTCAAATCTGTGCGTAAAGTTACAATTTTGTTTTAAAATTCCTATAGATGTTTTACGTAACATATGTTTGTTAATTCTGAAGTTGTCAATGAAGAAAAGGAAACTTCTTTCCACATGCAGTGGCAAGGACATACGAAGGCAACAAGAACTAGCGTATAATATCTCTAATAATCGTTTTTCGCCGTGTTATTTTAACTCATATTTAATATTAGTTGTATATATATATATATATATTTTAAGTTTGTGTGATTTCGGCAACATAGCTATGTATATAAACCAATATAGACGAACATAAGTCTTATTACAAATCTGCAGTATAATATGCATTTTTTTTGTTGTTAATTTCTTTAAATAAATTAACAAGTAATATATAAAAAAAATTTTTAAAGTCAGTTCCTACTTGGGTCAACAAAGAAAATTTTATTTCAGTTACTTTTTATTAACATTTTTTCGTTTCTCATTGGCAGCTATGGAATAAGTAGTATATATAAATAAGTACGAATTGTATTTGAAATTGAGTGGATGAATAAAAAGTATTTTATTAACGACTGAAAATTTGAACTAGATATTGGGAAAGTGTAAGCTAATAGTAGGAACTTAAAATTAGAGCAGGGTTTCTTAAACTTTTTAATATGGGGATCCCATACTATTTACGAAAATTTTGTGGGACCCCATAAACATTGTGCAAATTTGACACACACATGAGTGAAACTATCAGTTTCTTGTACTGTAATATAGAATTACAGTTTTAGATCATTAATTTTTAAGGTAAAATGAACATTTCTATTATAAAAAAATGCATTGAAACATTTTCTTTTCTTTTTTTAATCTATTATCTTTATCTGTTTTCAGTTATATTATGTAAAAATATTTGGTAATTGTAACATTGTTATAATAAGAATATCAAAATTGCTAAAATTTTTGGCAACCCATAGTGTAAAAAACTCTGTTTTAGAGAATTAATTAACTTAGTTTCAATGATATATTTGAAATATTCAAAAAGTGCATATATCAACATGAAATATGATGTAGAATTTGTAATATTTGGGTTTAATTTAAATGTCATGCCCAAATATATTTGAGAATGTGTAGTGAGTTTCTTCTTTTATGACAAAGAAGATACAAAATTTAATGTGAAATTAAAATTTATGAACTGATTTAAGATAATATCATAGCTGAATATAGTAAATGCAGCTAATTATTTTAAGTGGTTTTTTTTTTTTTTTTTTTTTTTTTTTTTTTTTTTTTAATTTGGAGTATGCTTTTAAAAGAGTCCATCTTCCAGTACCTTGAACTAAATTGTTCAGTGCATTAATATATTCTTGAAAAGCAATTAAATTTTCCTACTGAACTAATTGTTTTCCATGTTTTGGTCAATAAAATGTGATTGCTGCAATCCCCCCTTTGCCCCTTCCCATATTTTTAAGTTAGGTCATTTAAGGGCAGCCTTATAAATGCACACAGCATAAATTTTCAATCTTCCTGCTTGATATGAAAATATTTGAATTAATTTTAATTTTTTTAATGAACTTGGGATCAAATTGTTTTGCAATGCAGGTGAAAGAAAATTTGATAAAAACATTAATACATAAATTGAATAAAACAGGAAGAATTCTGTAACTTGATTTACTGGTAAGACTTTGTGCAGGGGCAGTAATCGAAATTTAAATTATAGCATTTAAATTTTTAACTTGATAAATAAAAGTTGTATATATAATTCATATTAATTCATTTGAATAATTTATTATATTTTTTAAACTGAAAATTATTCAGTTTAAATAATTTGCAACAATTTCAGCCCCAAAAAATATTAATTATACTGAATATTACTTTTTATTTAAATTTATTTTGATCTGCTTGTTTCTATTATTATTCATTATTTTGATTAAGTAAAATTTAAATTTATTCTGTGATAGAATGAAAGCCCTTTTGAGTAGTTATTATTGGGACCAGATTCAGAAATGTATATATGTAAGCACATATAAATTCATGTATGTGCTATCCTGATAATGGAAGAGTGCTGCTTTTTGTGTGGCAGTATAATTTCTGTCACTGATAGAGTGTTATAACCTAGAATTTGTCACCTTTTTATATAGTATATTTGCTGTTTAACTTTTAGTATTATTATCAGAAGTTATTGCTTTAAACAAGTCAAAAAAGAGAGTTTACAGTAAAGATGAAAATGTAAGTAATAAAAGTTGCTTGTTTTATTAACTTTGCATCAGATATAGTTCTTGATAATGATGAGTGTATGAGCACTAAAAATTATAGCATGTATAACTGTAATTAGCCTTGAAATATTTTTTTAAAATTTCTATTTTAGAAAAATAAATTGTACTGTAAAAAAGACTTTATTTTAAAATTTTTGTTTTAGGACAAAAAACAACCTGTTGGGAAAGAACGAGCTCTTGATTGTGGAAGTGGAATAGGACGTGTTACAAAGCATCTCCTTGCGAAATTTTTTACAACTGTTGATATGGTGGAGCAAAATAAGGAGTTTTTAGATGCTTCTCATGTTTACTTAGACCAAGAAAATAAGAGAGTTTGTAAGAGATTTAACTATGGTATTTTTCTTTTTCACTTTTTTCATACATCCAATTTATTATTTGCACTATTTAGTTTTTATGTGCTTTTTCAGATAAATGTAATTTAGAATTTGAATTTATAATCATAATTTAATATTTTACAAATGTTTATTTATTTATTTGTGAAGTTAAGGAAGATACATTTTGCTTTAAATTAAAAAATGTAGCTTAAGGTAGGCAGTTCAAATGTATTTTGCAAGTGTGGTTAATCATTTTGCAAAAGTATTTAGTTTAGTTATTTGTTTAACAGAACAGAGAATAAGATACTTTGGTATTAGCAAGTATCTGCATATACTTCACTAAAAATCTGTTGACTGATGCATATACTTCACTAAAAATCTTTTGACAATAAAATGTATTTCTAAAGTCAACAGATCAGTTAAACAATTTTCTTTTTATTTCTGGTGGGTGTTGTTTGGCTGTTGCATTAAAAAATTGCATGCAATTAAAATTTTCCATAGTTTTTTCTACCTTCCTGTAAAGTCTCCTAAACAAGAAAGCAAATGACTTCTTTGAAATGAAACTGCCATTATTCTCACACTTTGTTAGCAGTCATTAATACTATCTTTCTATCATACATCTATCATATACAGTTTTACTGTGTGAAGATTTAAATACTGAACAGTTTTGAGGTAAAATACCACATATCTAGAAATAATAAATTGGTACTGCTTTATTTCATGTGAAGTTAATAAATATATAGTGCAGAATGCAATAAAAATTCATGTGATCAACAACTGTTGTTCTAAAACTTTGTGTGGGAAAGGATTGCAAAATTTTTATTTTTCATGGCTGTTGATGATGCAAAATGTTTTTCACTTGTTACAGTGGCTTCATCATTCCAGCAGTCAGGCTTTGGAGCTCTCAGCAGGCATTTGTTTACATTTGCTTTTACCTAAGTATCAATTAAGAACGAAATTAACATGCACAGACTGTTTCATATATAGTATATGATAGTAAATGCTATGCCATGTAATGTGTGTAAAATAAATCTGATTTTTTTTTTTTTTTTTTTTTTTTTTTTTTTATGACTGTTAAACAATTTTATGGCACTTGTCTTTCTGGTTAAAACTTACCCTTCCAGTTACTGTAGATTGTAAAATAGCCTCACTGTTAAGTTTTTTCAGTGTTTTATATGACTTGTAGTCTTCTATCCAACTAAATAAAGTTTAAAACACAAAATGTTCCTCTTAAATATATGACATTTTGTCTAAACTATTAATGTTTTCCTTATGGGTGTGATATTTTCAAACCCAAACCTTAAGTACTTAAAAATCAGCTTTGGTATATATGTTTATCCCAAGCATTTCTATCCACTTTTAGGCAAGAACTTCTCTAAGTACCTAACCCTTTAGTGCAATTATATTTAATACTTTCCTTTTATTATTTTCTCAGATTTTTTTTTTTTTTTTTTTTTTTTGGCTGAGAAAGTCCTCACTTAAAAATAGGAAACAGATAGATCTTAAGTGTGAAATTGTTACTTATTTTGTCATATGTTCTCCTTGCTTTTTAGCACCAGATACTTAAAATTTAAAAATAGTCGTATAATTTTCTCCTTCTGTAGTGCATTCACAGAATGACCTCTCCTTAATTTTAAAATGGATTTATTGCAAGAACTGACCAATCACAATGAAGTAAACATGAATAGACATTCATTCTATGATTTTGCCGAGTCAGCTGCACTTCTCTAATTAGTTGAGTTGAGGAATAGCAGAGATAACAATAAGAAGGAACAAGATTCAAATTATAAAAAAATAGAAACGAAAATATCTTATATTGTAATTTTAATATTACTATATATTTTTATTGGAATGTAGATTTCTTTTAAAGAAATAATATTGTGATAGTAACCTGTAAATTTTATCCACGATTACTTTTCATTTATAATGTTTTGCTGTAAGCAGTCCTTCAGAATTGTTTGCATAATTTTCCTCTCTTGATTTTTGCATGATAAAATCTATAAAAAAGAGTGGGAATATATGTGAGGAAATATGGTATTTAAGTTATAGTATGTAGTTGTGTAATATCTGTCATTCCGTTTTGCCTGTTTTTGCTTATGCCACATGTAAATGGCCAAGACTAAGACTGAATGAAAAAGAATTTCAAGACCTTATAAAGAAATTTGTGATGATAGTCATTCAAAATATAAGGTTAGAAGAAGAAAATAAGGGCTTTTATGTAATCTATCAAGAAACAATAACAGTATTATGTTACCTTTACTTCGAATTCATTTCTGCAACAAATCATCATATCTGTCCTTCTTCTGCATTAAATTCTTCATCACAAAAGAATATTCATTAGGAAAATGTGAAGGCAATGCATAGAGTAAATATGTTTAATTTCACAGGATATATACATTATAAAGACCGTGATCTGGACTCGTTGGACTTCAGTGATTTTGGATTAGGGATTTTTCCAGATATTAGGTCATCTATTTAAACCTAGTAAGATGACATATAGAAATTATTGAATTAAAAAGATAAAGTAGTGATTTATGAAATAATGAAGCATTGATGACTTTAAGGGAATCAAAATTTACAAAAAAGTAAATAAACTCAATATTTATTTGCTTTATTAAATGTATCTTTTCATGTAAGTTGTTTAATTTGCTTCATTTTTTGTGCTAATATTTCCTCTTTATTTCTATAGATAGACATAATTTCTTGTTCTAGAAAGTTCTGTTTTTTAAATCATGTAATTGAAGCATTGAGAATTCCCACTAAATTGTCAGTTGAAATTTTTTTCTTTCTCAGCAACCTCTCTTTCACTTTCTTCACTATCGGCAGCAATATTTTCTGAATTTGGAACCATACTACAGAATTCACTGTTAGTTAGTTGATTGATGATTGGAGCATTGTCATTGTAATGAAAGGCTCTGAACCACTTCTTCACAAATTCCATTAATTAGAAAATTTTACTATTTGTTTGTGACATCTAAAAACCTTTAAATTCACAACTGTCATCATATGCTTAGCTAGTGTCCACTGTAGACTGTTGGCAATGTATCATGAGATTGGTGACTAAAGCCATGTTGTTTTACTAAATTTTTTCTTGCTTCCATTGCACATTTATAAAGGTATTTAAACTAATATAAATTAGGACTATTTCCCACACATGTTTGAGGCATATCAGAGTTCCGAATAAATTCTCACAGGTACTTAAGACTTGCACTAGATATTTTGCAACGCTGTGCAGTGTCTGTGGGGCTGAAATTCTGCTGCTAAGTGCCTACCTAAATTCTAAAGAATCAGTTAAATCCATTCATTCATCCTTCATTCTTTACCCCAAGTGATTTTTAGGATAATTTTTCTCAAATTTTACTTGATGTGATTTGTAATACTACTTAATCTATTGTAGAGATTTGTAGAATTGCTTATGAAGATTTAACCAGTGTTTACTCAGTTAATATTTGTATTTAATTTTGTTTTACACCAGTAATATGGCATATTAATAAGTTTATTCACATGTAGTATGTACAATGATTATTAATTTTATTTTCATTCTCACTTAAAAGTACTTTGATAAATTAATGCTTTCCTTTCCTGCTGAGGATTTTCTTGCTGTAAATGTGTGAATTACAAAATTATGAAATAAAAGTAATTATAAATGAAAATAATTACAGAGGAAAAACAATAACAGATTACAAAGTAAAATTATTTAAGGAACATAAAATTCAGAATATCTAAATAAATATTAATGTATTTTACATCAGAATCATATTATACAAAAGCCCATTTATCCGGCATTCAGCTGACTTCAAAACTCAATTCACCAGAATATTTAAAAATTTTAGACATCTTTTTTTTTTTTTTTTTTTTTTTTTTTTTCATATAAAAAATTAAGCGAATGACACACTTGTAAAACCATCATAAAGCATGTATGAGACTCAGAATACATAAAATGTGTTGTCAAACCATGTGATTTACCAGCAATAATGGATAAGCTTGACATCACAATACAGTTATAAAATCTTCATTCTAATTTTATGTAAATCCAATTAATTCTTGATAAGTCAGAATAGTTGTGCTGAAGAAGGATATAATTTAACTGCTACTTATATGTTTTTTAATTGCATTTTTGAGAAAATGATTATGAATTATGACCTGTCTTAAATGGAACAGCATGTGGTGGGCACAATACATGACCTTTCTTTAGCAGATAAACATGACAGCATTTAACAGATAGCAATGGTAACATGATAAATGAAGAATAAAGAAAGCAATGTAAGTTTTTTTTATATGTCATATCCAGAAATTGTATCTCTTGATTGTCTAGCTAAATAAACAGCAAACAGTACTTTCAAACATCTGCTGAAATATTTGGCAGAATCCTCCCAACTTTCATAACTGGAAAGGGAAAAAAAATCGCTTTTTATGTTTGAAATACGCTTTTCCCCAAAATTTTACATAATATTAAATGTAAGCATTTGATATTGAAGCTGATAATAAATAATATGACAATTTTTTGAATTTTAGATTGGAAATTTCTAAATAAATGGAAAACATTTATTTAGCATATCTCCTGTGAATTGCAATTTTTACATATACACATAACAATTTGGAATTTTCCTGTATTCTGCATTTGCCATTTCTCGGGCATTCTGTAATAATCAGGGTTTTAATGTATACAGTCAAAAGTCGTTAATTCGGACACCCATAATCCGGAATGATCTATAATCCGGACCTCAAAGCTACAAACTTTCTGCGCATGTACGTAAGACCTTTACGGCTGCGAATTTGCGTGTGCACGTGTGCAAAATACGTTTACGAATGCGCGTTTAATGTATAACGGACGGGATAAGCTAAGCTAAAATTATCTAATTCAGTTAATGTTGCAGATTGCATTGTTCCTTAATCTTCAAATTGGATCCGGCTTATTATTTTTTGCAGACTGTTAGAGCAATTTTATAAAAGTAAGCTTGAACTTTCGATTATTTCAAATAGAATTTCCGATATATATTTACCAATATGTAAAGGATATACAAAGCGAAAGTATCTTTCGGAGTCCATTAAACAAAAAGTGGAATTGCTGCAAAAATTGGATAAAGGCATATCCTTTGTTTATCTAAACTTTAACGTTTGTTTATCTAAACTTTGTTTATCTTTAACACCGCGGAGCACAATGAATTGGAAGTTGATCTGTCAACACTATCCTTATCTTAAGGGCAGATGTTTTTATTTTATTTGGCTTATAGTTGCTTACTAAATGTGGTATTTCCTCTCGATGTACTCCGTCTTTGATATGATTTAAATCAAATGCCTTGTCATTATAATTCGCTTCCGATAGCAAAGAAAGTGACAGAGGTTATTGAAAACAAAAAAATTTTGATTGACAAATTAGTCGGTATTCTCGACACAGCAATTATAGGACTTGAACAGCAGAACTTTGTTACTGAACAAGAAATTATGTCTGTTTATGGAATTAAAGAGAATGTATTATCACATAAAAACGAAGCAACTTAAACAACTTACATTGAAAGAAATGTTTAATAAAGTAAACAAATAAATATTAAGCTTTTTTTTTTTTTTTTTTTTTTTTTTTTTTTTTTTTTTTTTTTTTTTTTTTTTGTAAATTTTGATACCCTTTAGATCATAATTGTTCTTTATTTCATAAATTACGGTTTCATATTTTTAATTTTATAATTTCTGCATGCCATTTTACCAGATTTAAACTAATGATCTATAATCCGGAAAAATTGATAATCTGGAATCGACGAAGTCCCAACGAGTCCGGATTAACGACTTTTGACTGTACATAGTTGAGTAACCTAAGTCATGGATTAAGAAGCAGATGTCAGTCAATTTGAACTTTGAAAATGGTACTGCATGAAAATCTCTCGGAAACTCCCAGTTTTTCAGATTTTAAAGTTGGCAGCTATAATACCTATATTGAAAACATGTTACAATGCAGGATACCTCTCCATTTTATGATGTAAGTTAGGTTCAGCTTAATTAATTCACAGTGGTTGAGTTTCTCAATGTAGTCTAAATATTTACACTTTTCCATAGAATGTAAATCAATGTTTAGTCTTTTGGCTGAAAAGCAGGCTGTTAGTAATTTCCCTTGAAGTGGCCAAGAATTATTGCAAGGGTAGTTTCTGGGAACTGAAAAGTTAAATTGTAATTTTCTTTTAATAGGCTGCCTCTCACCAAAGATAAACATTGGCTTGAAATCTAATTAGATGGCAGCAATCCCAATGATAAGTCAGGCTTCATGAAAAAGAAATTTGGAATAATAATAATAATGTAGCATATAATATAATAATGTTTAATGTGTTGCCGAACTTATGCAGTTCTCCAATGTTTTTGCTTAATCATCAATGAATTACATAAGTTGCTCACATTAAACAGCTATCCATGATATGATATATGCAGGCTACCATTGTGAGGCATTTTGGTGTACATTTGGTGACTAATGTGTCCCATTAACAGAAAAATTCCCCCTAATGGTGGTATATATGCATCTGAAGGTCCTTGCTAATGCTACATTGAAAACATTACTTTTGTAAGCTTTTGTAACAACTAGATATTATTGCTTTCTGACTGAAAACTACCCCATGTGACATTATGTTAAATTTTATTCATGCACACTAATGTATATATTAAGGTAAGTATGAGAATGTACTTAATTGGGTACTTATGTATTAGCACAGCCAGTTTAGTAAAAGCTGCCAAATTTTCAGAATGCGGCAACCATGCATATAAGAATTCTTCAGTTTTAACCAGCCACACAGCCATTTTTCTACATATTCTTTTCCCATGTTTTCCAAATTCCAATGGTTTTTATACACAAATCATGATATTTTTTTGTCTTGATATAAAAAAAAAATATGTTCTTGTGACATTTGCCTGTAGTAGAAGAAATTGCTGCAAAATTTCTCCAGAAATACATTATTTTGTAAGATTGCTAAAGGGAAACAATTGTTTTGAATCTGTTCTTAAAGTAATTGCCATAAAATTTTCATCAGAACAAAAGAAACAAAAACCTACTTGTAGGTATATTTATTGATTAATTGTGAGAATATAATAAAGTTCTCATTAAAGTATAAAATATGTATGTAGTAATTTTTTTTCAATTATAAGTAAGTCATCACTCTTTTTCTTTTGAAAACAAAAGTGCCAAATTTTCCAAAGGTGGTTGTGCTAATATGCAAGTTCCCTTTATTGTGCACTGTAAGTGCATTATATTCCAAGTTCTCAGTATGGCATAAATTAATGAATTTTATTTTTAAATATGATGTAATAATATTGGCAAAATTATAATGTTATGATAACTTCTTTTTCTTTATAATTTTAATATTTTTAACTAAGCATATTGAGTTTTGCTGAAATTATTTATGCATTTTATTAACTTTCCCCCTTTTATTTTAGGTTTACAAGATTTTATACCTGATGAAAAACATTATGATGTAATATGGTGTCAGTGGGTAACAGGACATTTAACAGATGATGATTTTGTATCATTTTTAAAAAGATGTAAAAATGGTTTGAAAGATAATGGTATTATAGTTATAAAAGATAACTTATCATCTGGAGAAATAGATACAGATCATGAAGATGGATCAGTCACTAGACCCAGAGAACTTCTTGTAAGCCTCTTTAAGAGAGCAAATCTGACTTTACTTGCTGAAAGAAAACAGTATAAGTTTCCTAAAGGATTGTATCAAGTAAAGATGTTTGCTCTACGGTAGCATATAGATAATAAAATTTAGCTAATTATTGTTTTAATCAATCTCATTTTTAAAACAAAATTATATGAGTAGATATTTTCAAATTTTTTGCAGTATTTTATGGTGGAAATATTTTGTAATATTTATAAACTTTAACAAATATTTAATAATTACATTTGTTAAATTTTTTAACAACTATTTTAACTAACATTTACATTTTAGACAAAGAATATACAATTTTGTATAAATAATTGTAATTGAATATAAAAATATTCAATATTTAATCTGGTCTAAGAAGGAATTTCTTAACAGTGGCTAAAGCCTCAGAACTCTGGTAAGCTTCTGTCCAGTACCTGGCTGTTTGAGGTTTTTATGATGTAAAACAGAAATATAAGCAACTGCCGTATTAAATCACCTCTGAGGACGTTCCTTCTCTGGATAGTTGTGTGTATATGCTTTTTTACCCCAAAATTCCTTCCCCCTTTGATGAGTAACAATTCAACCTCCTTTTGATAGTTTTCTTTCCCCTTCTAATATTCCTTTGCTCAAATCACTTCTACTCTCCAGTGGAGAGGTTATCCTTCCAATAACCTTTCTTCTCCCTCATTTGTTCAAAAGCCCATAATTTTCTGTATTTTTCAGCTCTAGATGCACACAGCTGCATAAAATATTCAAATAACAGTACAACATAAATAACTGTATTTTATATCGTATTATTGTGTATGCATGTGATTATAACTGAATTCAATAAATGTATATATTTCACATTGTAATTTAGGATTACATGTTGCTTGTTTAGCTCATTTGCCAAAAAATTTACACATTTTATTATAATGATGATTGCTTTGAAAATGTCAAAATCCTAATTTTGTATTGAGGCGAAAATTAAAGTTTCCACAATTTAAGTGGTATTTTTAGGGACTAACTACTTCTGATTTTGATTAATTTTGAGTGATACAGTTAAATAGTTTTCCAATTGAGTTCTGGATGCAGCTAAATAATTTATTGCTAAAGCGTTATTCATCACATGGCTTATGAATTATGATTTGACTTTATTACATTGCTGTTTAATATTAGCCTGAAATGAAAATATTTTTATGCGGGTTATCAAAAAAAAAAAAAAAAAAAAAAAAAAAAAAAAAACTCCACTAATTTTCTGGTAGCTCATGATTGAAATTTTGGTGATCTTTGTTCTAGATACTACCTAACATAGCCTGAAGAGACAAAAACTCACTATATATATATACCAAGAATGAAGAAATAATACCATAATTGAGAAGACAAATGCAGGTTTGTTTTGGTATTTAATTTAAAACTGAATTTTAATTAAAATATATTTTTGATTAGGTTGTGTGCCTTACAAGAAGACTGCATTTTGATTAATTGCTGAAATATGAAAAGTATAAGCCTAACTGCGGGATTGTTTTCATAGAATATTTTTTTATTGGAAATTGACCCATCTTCATGTTTGTTAAGAAATTACTTTGTATGAATGTATATAAATTTTTCTCAAATAAGGAGAAGATATTATTGCTCTAAACTCAGGCAGAAGAAAAGAAATTTTAAATTCATTATCAGGAGTTTTAAACAAAATCACAATACTCGTGTGGTAAAAAGTTTTTTTTCAGTGAGTGATTAAATTGAGATATTAAAAAAATTTTTTATATTTTAGTAATTAAAATGGTTAATTTTTTTTACTCTCTGTAAGTATTTAAAATCCCTGAAATGTTGCTTTGCACTGTTCCCATTTGACATTAAAAAGAAAGGTGATGCAACTGAAGAATAATACCTTATTGTTGCATGGAAATATGCAGTATTTTATGCTAATGAAGTTATTGAAACTTATTTATCTAAATATCATAAGAAATTAAACAGCTTTTTTAATATTGTTTATAATCTGAAATTTTGTGTACTATATAAATAAATAAATAAATATGTAAATTATGATTAAAATTGTTATATTCAAAGTGTTAAAATATTTATATTGAAAGGGAAAAAAAAAGCATTTTCATCTGTAATATACTATTATACAAAATCGAGCAAAAAAAAGTGCATATGCAAAGATATGACATGAAACTAAAAAAATTAACTTTTTAACAGTTCAACACTTAAGTTTCTAAATCAATGTAGTAGCTCACAATATCAAAATAATTTTCTAATAAAATTTTGTTGCTTAGTTATTTTTTCATGTAATTCTGCATATTTTAATTGGGATATCTGGGGTTTATTGCCCCAATGCATGACTGATTAATTTTCTGCTTGAACTTGCTTTTGAAGTTGATTCAATGAAGATACATTTACAGGGAAATGAAAGCTTTTTTTATTTAATTTGGAATGTCACTTTTCAATGTTGTTATTAGTTCTGGCTGCATCATTTGAGAAGTGATTCCAGATATTTCTGGAAAAGAAGACATTTAAAAATAAAATCACGCTGCCTTGAAGATAAGGATAGTGCCGACAGATCAACTTCCAATTCATTGTGCGCCGCGACATGCCCCCTCCCCCACAGAGCAGCATGAAATTGATAAACAGATTTCGAAATGGTTAGAGAAACAAAGGATATGCCTTTATCCATTTTTTGCAGCAATTCCACTTTTTGTTTGAAGGACATCGAAACATACTTTCGCTTTGTAGAGCCTTTGGCAGCTCCAGCATCGGAAATTTTATTTGACATAATCGAAACTTCAAGTTTACTTTTATAAAATTGCTCTAACAGCCTGCAAATAATAATAAGCCGGATCCAATTCGAAGATTTAGGAACAACGCTATCTGCAACATTAACTGAAATAGATAATTAAATAATTTTAGCTTAGCTTATACCGTCCGTTATACACTAAACGCGCATGTGTAAATGTATTATGTGCACATGCATATGTGCATGCGTAAAAATATTACGCGCATGCGTGAACGCATTATGCGTTGATGCATGCGCAGAAAGTTTGCAGCTTTGAGGTCTGGATTAACGACTTTTGACTGTAATAAATTCTTAATAATGCAATATTTCTGAAGCACACTGTAGAGAAAAATATATAAAAAATAGAGAATTTTCTCAAGTGTACTAAATTATTTTTAATGATACTTGAATGAAAATTAAGTGATATATATGTATTTACTCCATCTGGCATATGAGGCTGATATCAGGAGGACAATTGGAGAAGTGGAGAAAACACAATTCTATGCAGGTGATAAGGGTGGAGGAAAGTTGTGCAAAAAGACATGTAAACCAATAGTTAGCCCTTGAGTGCTTCACCATAATTTATCCAATTTTGAGAGAGAGCTTATAGCCATTTAATAAATTGCCTGTAAAAGTACTACATTCAAAATTTTTATAATGATTTATATGTAATTTTGGCTAAAACTCTTCAATCCTTTTTTCTGGATTTTAAGGCAAACTATTGTTTTTAGTCCAACAGGATTTGTCCCTGAAGGACTATTGTTTAGGTTTTGTGATTTTGCGTCGATTCAGTACGAACGGCAAATCACTTTTCAAACTGTTGCCACAAAGTATTATCGACCTGTGTATATTTAAAGAAATTAAATAATGAAAAATCTGCATAAATGTATGTATATTTCTTGCACTGTGATAAAACAACGGTACATAGAGCCATCGAATTTTGAATGATGTAATCCTGCTGCGAATATGGGCATGTAGAAGCCCAAATTTGAAATTTAGAATTTGTTTTATTATTGATTTCCTATTTTGTAAAACTTTAACGAATTTTTGATTAACCAAGTCAAGGATTTCAAAGCGAGCAGTGTACAGAAAAAAAAAAAAAAAAAATTTATCTCTGGCGTGTGAGTCTCTGTATCGGAAATTCTAAAGATATGCTTATTTTAAAACTATTTTGTGATATTGCTGTTGAACTGAATTTTATAGTTTAAGTGCAAAGAACATGATATTTAATAAATAAATGTAACACACAAAATGTTTAAAAAAAGGCCCCTTTGGACGTAATTTAAAATCTGAAACATTTCAGATTTTCTTTTCTTTAATCATTTTTTTATTTATTTTTTCAAGTCTTTTTTATATTAATAAACTGTCTTATGTGTTTTATAAATATCTTGTGATATCCTAATTAATGTTTTTGTCATCATCCATCTGCATTTGAAGCGCTGTTAGAGTGAAAATTTAAATTTTTCTTCATTCATTTTTTATTTTTCATTGTTTGCTATTCAGATATCAGTAATACAGAAGGTTATTGGGAAACTTTCAGAACAAAACTACTAAAATCAAAGAGCGCCCCCACAATATTGTAAGCTTTGCACACCGCAAGATAATGTATGCTAGAGAAAAGCGAGTGGCAAGTTGGCAGGTACGAAGCAAGCGAGAAAATGAGGTATTCAGAAGAAAGTGTGGAGTCAAAAAATTTTGGTTTTTGGAAAAGTAATTGACAACAATAACATACCTGCATCGCAATGTTAAGTAAGATCCCATGATGCTGATTAATTTTGAAATGATGCTGTTTAGATTGGTATATTATAAATAGATACTATTTTTAGGACAGTAAAGAGAAATGCCCAAATCAAAATGAAGAATAACAGTAGCCAATTAAAATTAGAAGTTCATTACAGCATTGCCAACTCTCTTAATTTAAGCAGGAGAATCCCAATTTCTGACCATGCTCCTGCTAACCCGATTCGCAACATATTTCTCCTGACATTCTCTTATTTTTAAAATTTCTCACAATTTTTATATAACTTGGCTTAATACTTCATTATTTGCATCCAAAATAGTGATTTTTGCCATCTGAAAGCATTTGTTTTTTTCTCTAGATACATATAAAAGAAAACCGAAGTCATTTCATCAATGATAGGCGCTTTTCTGCTTTCAAGTCCGAAAATGCGGTGTTCTGGTTCTTCAGTACGAATCAAGTGCTGATGCAGGTCATCAGGCATATATTAGCCAGCAAGCACACAGCAAGGTCAAAGTTGTTTATTTCGTTCGTCTCCCCAGTGAGCAGCGTAAGAACAGTTTGAGACTGCGGTCTTTTATCTTAGTTATGTCTGCAAAAATTGTACACAGATGACTTTCCTTTTATTATTTCATCAAGGAAAATT